TCAGAAATTGTACATTTTCGGGGTTAATTTAACAATCTTTAAACAAACTAATTTGTTTTTGCTAACCTCGTGTTCTTAGCAAAATGGTTTTCGGTTTAATTATCATATATTAATAGTTATCATATTTAAACATTGTGAATTATATTAATTATGTTTAAATTTTATCTAATTATATCGCGAAAATGTATAGCTTTGACCCCCCAACCTCAATCGTTTCGAAAATTTATCCAAAATGTAAACATTGTCGACCAAACGAATCACGGAATCCGATAAATTAAAACTGAAGTCGTACTTACCCTGTTTTCGGTCCTTTTCGGAAAAATATCCATTCTCGTTCGTGTTCACAGTACTAATACAACACATTTTCACTAATATTTATTAATAATAAATTAGAAATTCGTGAAAGGAGCCCTACTTTTAAGCCAAAACGGACTCTGAGGTTGCTGCCACCAAACCGAAATCAAAACTAAACACAGAGGACCGAAAAATGTTACCTTTTATCAGGTAGCTCACGTGACAGTGACGTCATCGTACGTCACGATGAGATTGCAAAAAATATTTTTCATATTTTAGCTCAGAAATTGTACATTTTCGGGGTTAATTTAACAATGTTTAAACAAACTAATTTGTTTTTGCTAACCTCGCGGTCTTAGGAAAATAGTTTTCGGTTTAATTATCACATATTAATAGTTATCATATTTAAACATTATGAATTATATTAATTATGTCATTTCTGCAACTCTTGAGTTATTCTCTAAAATAAATTAACTGATCCTTACATTTTTTTGAGTCACTGTAAAAGCAAATCTAAAAAATATGAATGCAATGATAAATTACGAAAATATACTGATGATATGACGTCATCAAGTTTTTGGGCTTGATAAACAGATATATTTTGATTAAAAACGTATCATGTCAAACAGTAACTTCAAAACGTCTGCAATATTTCAAAATTCAGTTTTGCAATTCTTGATTCATTCAATAAAATAAACTGACTCAGTGATTAATTTTTTTGAGACATTCCCTATAAGCAAAACTAAAAAATATGAATGGAATGATAAATCACAAGTATAGTCTCATCCTATTTTGGATATTTTAAAAAGGATTCATTTGGCAAAATTTTGGGCTGACGTCATCAATTTTTTGAAGGAAGTAAATATTATTTTGAATAAAAATGTATTATGCTTATCATATGTTTAAAACATCTGCAAGATTTCAAAGCATTCGGTTTTGCATATTCAAAATTAAATTGTAGGTGAAATGAAGTTCGCGGGGTCAGCTAGTTAATAATATTTATTAATTAATTGGTGACGTGGGTGCCGATAGACTGAGTTTTGGTGGAAAGAAGTGTGAATAATTGCGACCGACCTCTTATCGAGTTCCTTTTTTCCTATTAAAGAGTTGGCCTGGAAGAAAACCGTGCAGTAAATACTCCAGGTGGGCACCGCATGTTTCCGTTCACCGATAACTTGCAAACGCACCGTGTAACCACTACCACCGCCAGTTGACATGCCGTCCCCGTTTCAGCCGGCGCGAGGGAGGACATAGGACGACTTTGATAGGGCTTTCATTTCTTTTAATTGCTGCAATTTTTCTGTAGGTCAGTTAGTTTTCTTATTTGAATTTTATACTAGTAGCAGCGAATAAAACACGAATTTTTCTTAATTTAACCAGAGTATTACTTCTGTAGCGACCGTTCAGGAGACCCACTGGAGATCAGTTTCTCCGGCTAGATTACCCTAGGTTTTTCCTCTCCTCCCCCACTAACATAACGGCCAAACTCGAACCATCACCGTCACCGACCTCCGGGTTTTGTCTCATTATAAGATTTTACAACAATCGTTTCAGTAGTTTCGAAGATTATTTGTCTAATAAAGATTGACACAGACAGACAGACGGACGGATGGACGGACGGACGGACGGACGGACAGACAGACAAGCAGATAAACAGACGATAACAGGAGACCTATTATTTCGTACACCACGGAACTTACTTTTTCGTACCCTAAATGAAGCATCGAGAAAACATTAAAGTAGCCAGTTTGCCGGTGAACCGTATTACAACACAATGCTTCCTTAACTTACGCTCGGGAAGTAAAAAAACAAACAATTTAAAAATTACTTTGTATAATAGCAGTCTGCTTGTAGGAAACTAATTCACTTTAATAGTTACCTACAATAACATTTGTACCATTTTAACTTCTTAAGTGTAAGGTAAGGAAAATAAAAAAAATTGTAGTAGGGTCCACCTGACGACTGTCCACTTTCATGTTTCTCGAAAAAGTGGGTTCCACGTTTCCGTCTGCCTATCCTCTGTCGTCTGTTGTTAATTTTTAATAGACAGAAATCTTCGAAGCTACTCCACTGATTGATTGTTGTCAAATTTTATATGTATGTTATGAATATCGTGTAGATGGTAAAAATTTTGACTAATCATTCCAATCGACAATCTGATGACGTTCCTTTATTTTTTTTTAGTAAACGCCCTTTATAAAATAACATACTCTCGTGCTTGTGGTTTACGAATCCGTCTTGATTTTTTATCCTAGATCTCCATATTTTCACAAACAAAATTCAAATTGCCTCATCAAATTTTATACCAGTATAAGGGCACTGACGTATGGTAAAATCGGCTGTTGTGCCGTAAATATGTTGAATTACTAACGCGAAGGCCTTTGGTTCGACTGACCCATAGGTCACAATTGTTTTTATTGATCAAATTAACGACGACTCATCATCCATTTTCTCGAAAATTTGATAATACTGTAATGTTGGGCCCGTCTATAATATTCAAATAGTATTCCATAGTATCTTAATTAATTAGTTGCTTCCCCTGTTTTGAAGAGACAAAATCATTCAAATTAAGCAGCTTGCTACGTCTCTAATCGTTTTAATTTTTTCCATGTATAAGGTATTTTCCCATTGGTTATTATCTGCTTTAAATATAATTATCTGATATTGTTGGTGCCATGCGAACTGCATTTTCCGCGGCGTAGGGGCTATGCTATAGGGGTGTTATTTACACCACTGCATAACATGCTTTTTTACCTGTACTTTAAAAGTCCATACATATCTTTATTTTAACCTGTATGGGTTGTTATATATATAAAATAAATAAAATTCGTCAAACTATTTTTTTTTATTTTTCAAAGAAGCTACGTTTGTTCGATTGTACTTCAGGCCCGAGGAAAGTTCTGCCTAAATATCTTTAGACCCGATCAGAATCTAACAAAGTATTGTCATCAAGTTCATCGGGCGATTGGCTACTTTTATGTTTTATCGACGTTTCATGACCCCTATGGTACGAAAAATTAGGTCTTTCATTTCCGTCTGGCTGTCGGGCGTCTGACGTCTGCCGTCTGTCCGCGTCTGTGTCGATTTTTATTAGACAGATAGGTAATCTCCGAAATTACGGGACCAATTGTTATCAAATTTTGTATATATATTAGAAATATCGTGTAGATGGTAAAACACTAAACAAAATTTTTCTCATTCATCCCCACAGCGATGTGACGTTATCTCCAACTTTTACTACAGCAAATGTTATTTAAATTATATAATTGTATAAAATAACATACCCCTCGACTTATATTTTACAATTTAACTTTGAAATTGCAAAATCGAATAGGTACTCAGAAATCTTGTAAACATTTTAAGATTATCAGAAGCGTAGTAAATTGTTAATTAAAATTTATCCGTTGACGACCATCCTAAAAATTGGTGACGTCATCTTATAATTTGGCCGAATAAATGTTTTTTAAATTTTATAAAATAACATACTCTTACAAGTTCATCCTCCCTAAAAATGTGAAGACGTCACTTCATAACTTTTTAAATAAATTTCGCTAAAATTTTATTTCATAATTTGCTCTTTTACTCTGTTATTTATTAACATACTGTTACGTTGAACGGGTGATTGAAATCGGGCATAGATAAAACTCAACAATTTATTTCTTAATAACTCGAATTACACGAATAAATATTACAGCGATTATGTACAGAATAACTTCGTGGTTCACTTGGATGAATTCACTCACTTGCTGGACTTCTTGACTGAATGATCGTTTTTGACGGTGGCCTCTATTTAAAGCCATATTTCGGCGATCGAGCTCTTTCTCGAATTAGGTATTCGCAACTTCCGCTTCCAGGATTTTCGAGCGCCGCTTCGAGACTTCTCTGGGCCCGTCATGACATCCGCTTGCAGGCTTTCTTTTAGTGAATGCCACGTCGCGCGGCCGATGACAATACTAGATACGTGAAGCGACGCATACATACTAGAAGACCCATAGGCGTCGCACCGGGGCGACGTATGAGTTCACTTCGTAACAATACATTAGTAACATACGTACAGGGGTTTTCGAGAATTAATTAAAAAAGTAATTATACAATATAAACTTTCACGGTTTATTTTAGAACCCACGCAACGATTTTTTTTTAAACTGGCAAAACACTAACATTGATCAGATGATTATGACACATAATTTTTTTTTTTCATATTATTTTAATAATGTATTACTAATATGTGTGTTAAAAAATATGATTGGTAACATTGGATTTACTCGTATCTTGGTAATATATTGTTACGGCGTGCTCCAGTCAAATCCAGTCCACTCGATTAATATGTATAAGTTAAGTTGAGTCTGAATTATTCCTTGTACATTAACTCTGTATCGTTAGATGTGTAGTTGCGTATTATCGAAAAAATAAATTGTTGAGATTTACCACGCCAATTCATTTGCCGATCATCGTAACAATATTTTTATTACTTTAGAACTATTTACACAATTTCAGAGTTAAAAAAATATCACGGTATAAGAGTCAACACAGACGATTAATCTAGGAGCTAAACTCGTTTCAAATTTTTGGTAAGATTGCTCTAGTGTTTTTAAAACATTGATAACAGTTTGTGATGGTATTAACACTAATAAATAATAGTAATATCAGTATATACAACCCCTTTGACTCTTGACAGTAAATATTTAATTCAAATTAATTTTCAGTGTGTGCTACAGTTGTGTCTGCGTGGATTCAGAATCCTTGAGATCAAGAACAAAAACAACTCAAAAAAATGGGATTCACAAAATTGTCCAAAACAACTCGGACGTCTCCTGCAACGAATCCACTATTTACATCGGTCGGCAAAGCACTATTGGACGCTCCGGTAAGTTTCTCTTTTATGATTAATTTCATTTAACTACAAACATATTTAATAATTAAGTTGGGTCACGTATCGTAATTAGCAATTTTATAATATTTTTCTCTCATACGAAATTTTACTTACAAATCTGACAAGAAAAGTTTACGATTGATCTTTCTATTCAAACGCTATTGTCTTTAGAAAAAACTATTCATTTGACAATGCGTTACATATGTCTACTAAACCCCCTTTCCACAGAAGTAGTGGTTCTAGAAGCCGAAGATCGTGTTTAGCAGCGGCTCAGAATACGCATGCGTGTCTTCATCAACAAGTGGAAGTCGTCTTGCTCAAGTCGTTGCAGCTGATCCAGACGATGAAACTTTCAGATATAGAATAACGTGGGTGCGACCTCCAAACTCACAAAACCATTCGTTAGTGGCTAGTCAGAATCAACTCTATTCGTAAAATTTGACTTTCATATGTGATGTGACGGTGCCAAACTTTAAGCAATAGTTTCTAAATGTGGTGGTGCAGGATGGTTTGAAAATTACGCTTTGCTCAAATGATTTAAGTACAAAATTATTGTAATTACGGTTATAATGTGCTGAACACTTGTTACAATTTTTCAAATAAAGCTAAGAGTACCTATCTATAAGAATTGTATTGATTGAGTGTCTACAAACTCAGGAAATATGAAAAGAAGTGGACAGAGTGGTGTTGTTTACTTCCTTTTTCTGCTGTTATTTGCTGAAGGTGTAAATTCTCTTAAAACTCTTTGCTACCTTGAGCAAATATATTAACATACGAAAATATTGGCCTGAGTTTGTTGGGATTTTAGGCGATCGGGATTTTCCATTAAGCTTACAAAAGATAAAAGCACGCTGCTCCACTTTGTGTCGTACGGGCAACATGTAATCTATTGTCTATTCATGTGGATTTTCGCATAATCGTTAGTTCCAAAATCGTTTTGATGACATAAGTTTTTAACTTGCAGATTAGAAAAAATGCAGCAAGATAATGCTTGTCTTTGTAATTTTTTTTTTATTTCTTAACACAAGAACTTAATAACTACTAGATGAAAATACAAATACAATGACAATCAACTATTTTTGGACTTCTAGTACCTGTGTATATACTTCCATTACTACTTTATAATACTTTTTTCTCATGGTCCGTCCATGTCGAAGTTTTAAATAATGTTTCATTTATTAAATACACGTAAGTGAACAAAATCTGTTCTGTTCTCACAACAGAATAAATGATATCCGTATAAATTAAGGAATGTGGCTTAGTTTCCTGCATCAATTGGTAATAAAATTAAAATGTCAGTTTTTAAATTTCATTTAAAAATTAGAAATTAAATGAAACGGACCAAATTAAAATAATAATAAAGTTTTAGTTAAAGTTTCGAAGTAAATATTAATTCTGAATACTACTAATATGTGATTATTTAGTTACAGTGAAAAATCAGCTACGAGTATTTTGTGAAATGTCAAGCAGCGCGAAAACGGTATCCGGAAGTGTGAATTGATTAAAACTTTAAACGAACATTTGAAAAGAACAGAAACTTTGAAGAGAACTTCTAATAAAACACGAAACATGCTACATTGTATTTTCGAGGTTTCCCGTGACGAAGTTTCCGCAAAAGTAAATAATGTTAATTTTCCTAGAGTTATAACAGATGAAACAACAGACTTTCGACACACTTACAGACTATTTTATATTTCCTAGACAGCAGCCATCTGCAGTTGCTAGTTTCCTTGCTTTCCAATTTGAGTACAAAAAAACTCATTTAACAATTTTCAGCAATTTATCTCATCTTATATTAAGTTAATCAATAACTAAAAAACATTTAACATTATAGTATTTAACGTTATTAGGCCGATATTAAGCGTATAACAGTCGAGGATAATTGTTTGATAGCCGAGGAGTATAAATATTATCCGAGATTGTTATACGGTTTATCGGCCGTATTTCGTTCACTATTTTTCGTCATACCTACCTAAAACTAGTTCATTAAAAAAACACTCATAAAAAACACAAATGCAAGAAACTAATCAGGTAGTCTTAACTTTTTATCCATAGTAACGGTATGTTTATAAACCAAAAATAAAATTTTGACATGCTGCGTAAAAATGTTGCTGCTTGTGAAATTCCCGAAGATATTAGCGATGAAGCGGCTGCTGCAAGTTTGGGTTTATTGCCTCTGAAGACAAGTGTCAGGTATGAAAAGGAATAACAGGATTTTACAATATGGCGTAAAAAGAGAGCCGATTAGTGATTAGTGGTGCCATTGTGCTCTGCTACGCGTCACAATTGAGCAAACATTTTTCGCCAAACAGCTTATGGACAAAAATTTCCATGTTAAAGACATGCTTGAAATTACATGAAAGTATCGACATTTCTGGGCTAGTATTTGTCATTTTTAGTTACGTCTTATTACTCAAAAGTTACATTTGTTACAGATATGGAAAACTTATTATGTTCCTGAAACGCAAATCTGAATTTTATAAACCAAAAAAGCCCAAAATTCTAACAAATCAGCAAATCATCAGATTTCTTCTGGAAACATCAGATCACTACTTTTTGCTGGAGAAGGTTATTTTCATGTTGTACTAATTTGTAATTTATTGAAAAACGTGATGGAATAAATCTGATTAAAAATAATTATATTGTTAAATAAATAACGTTCACGGCTGTTATTATAACGTCCGTGGCTGTTATCGATGACATAACTTCCATGGAGACACTACGGATATGATCAAATAACAAAGAGGTATGACGAAAAACATGTTTATCAAGTCAGATGTTGATTAATTACGTTATGAGTAAATACCAAATTTTAAATGTAAACGACATCTTTGCCGAACGGGTTCAATATTGTATATATGTATGATAATTATTATTATTATAATAAGGGTTCCATATAGTATAAATCATTATTATTATATATTATATTTTCATATTCTATTCTCGGTCTAATAATGCCAATATGCAATCCGTATTCCGAAAATTTTACGTGTTACGTTTAAGGAGACCGATCATTTTAATCATTTCTAAGCCTTTAATTAAGTTTACTCTAACTGTATTCTGAAATATAAAATTTTCTTGGTCACACGTGAAACTATGATTTAACATTTTTACTTAAGTATTTTAACGACCATGTGTTCTCGTTGTTTCATAACTCCCGTTTCCGCCTGTTTGTTGTCTGCCCTTGTCGATATTTTATTAGGCAGATAATCTCCAAAACTACTGGAGTGATTCTTGTGAAATTTTATATGTATTTTAGGAATATCATGTAGATGGTGAAACGCTGACCAAAATTTGTTCGATCATCCCCACCAACAATTTGATAACGCTACGTCAAAATTTTGCGAAGCAAATGCGATCTAACTTTTATAAAATAACACATACCTAAGGTTGTAGTATATTAATCCGCGTTAATTATTTTTTAAATGTATTCATAAATCACAAAATTTTGTTATCGAAAAACTCACTTGAAACAGGAGCATCGCCTGCTTTTTTTTTGTACTTTAAGTCCGCATTTGCTAAATTCAATTTTACGATTTTTCAGTGAAGCTCTATTTGAACAACAATACTTCAGGGGTGAAGGACATTCTGTCTGAATAACCGTAGACCAATATTAAAAAAAAATAGATTTGTTTGATTGCACTGCAGCGGCGAGAGAAGTTCGGTCTAACAATTTTTTAATATTAATTTTTAATCGATTGTCATTACATCAGTGCTAAAATTTTATGAAAGTATTTCGTGGCATACAACAGTATCAGTCTATCAGCATATCCATAAACGGGACGTTTGAAAATAACAAATGAATCCTTAAATATGTAATATCATGAATAAAGTTGGACCTAAATTACATTCGTGAGTGACGTCACTGGATGAATGGATAAATATTTAACCTGTGTCCTTTGTGCTGTGTGTATTGGAACTTAATTATTATTAAACGTGTTATAAATAAATCAAGTATCTTGTTATATAAACCTACAGCAACCTACTTCGTTGACAATGTTAAAAGCCTTAGATAAGTCGGTATAGAATACTTTTATTTGATGTCTTAAGTCAAGATGATCTGATGAGTATATTCACAAAGATTTGTTATGCAGGAAATTATATTGATAGTTGTTAAAACTAGGTGACGTGTGACTGTATAAATTATTTGCTGTAGGAGTGTAGATATAACTCGAATATTTTAGAATCATTTTTAAAAATGGTATATAGTAGAAATCTTTTGAAAACAGCACTTTGAGTAATCGAAAGCTGCGCGGAAAAAATCGACCAGTGGCGTCGAGATTTTTGTACTTTTAGGGGTCAATGTAGAATATTGTTACGGACGTAAATGTTGAAAATTGTAAAAAAATATTCCAGTAATTATTTACTTCACATGTAAAAGAAACTGTAGTTCTGAAAAGAATTGATTTTATAAACCGGCAATATAGAATAATAATGATAATAATAATAAAAAAACTAAAACCAGAATTGGTCGTCTGCACAACTTTATTAGTGTGCTGTTTTAAAAAAATGTCTACCTTTGCGGCACAATGCCATTTTCGCCTAAATTAAACACGTATTGTATCAAAATGGCTTTCAAAGCACATTTACGCAATTCATAATGAGAAACGTAGGCATTTCATCCCGATATTCGGTAATAATAAAAAATGTTCATGCATGTTGTCACATGCAATATCTTCACTAACATCACTTTGTACGTAAACACCGCTAAAACAAATGTTGCAAATCTCCTGTAAACTTATTTTATATTGACTAAGTGACAGAGCATGAAGTATTCACTGTTATAAAGGTTTTGAAAAATACTAAATCCATAGATGTGGCTTAACAGCTGAAGTTATAAAATATGTTAAAAACATCATAGCAAAACCATTGGCTTTTATGTTGAATGTATACATTAGCCATGGAACATTTCCCGTTGTTCTTAAAAAAGGCAAAATTTTACTCATTTTTAAAAAGGATGACAAAAAAGATCTAAATAACTATCGCTCCATCTCAGTTTTTCCAGTAATTTCGAAAATTTTTGAGCAAATTATTAGAGTAAAATTAGTTAACTACATCGAAAAGCACAACTTTACTGTTTTTCAAAATCACAACTTGAATTCAGGAATAATAAAAATACTAGTCTAGCTCTACTAGATCTTGTAGAACATATTTTCGATTGCTTTGACAATGAATTTTCTGCATCTGCAACGTTATTTGATCTCTCGAAAGCATTCGATTGTGTCGATCATGCTATTCTTCTGCATAAGTTAAGAATATTACG